TGCATGGCAAAATCTTAAAAAGTAGTGCATCTGTATAATTGTTCCAATGCACATGCATGAGTTAGAACATAGGTTCACAGTAAACGGTAAAAGCTACTGAGAACATGTTTTAAAACAAGGGAGCCTCTTTGAACAGCCAAATTAAATTATAGCTGAACTCTTGAGTGTACTGAGGGTTCTAATAAGCAACAAATAAAGACTTTTACTGGCTAGCAACATAATGAGAGCCACTGTGCACGGGATTTTAAAAAGACAAATCTGGGTAGTTTATCTCACTGGATTATATTATTTACTTAAATGGTAAATAAGTTTGTCCAAAGTAATGCTACTAAAAACTAGTAAATAAATACTAAAGAGGAATTATGATCGATGACCTTAATGTAAACACATCACAAATGTCAGGGGAAAGACTGATAAATGTGAAATTAAACAACATATATTGAATTTAATCCCACTTAAATTTAATCCCACTTAAATTTAAATTTAACCTTATTTCTTTAAATTTAACTTATGTATTGATTCCTAATATAACAGTTTCATAAATGGTTTACTATGTGCTTACAACATGAAACATTCATTTTAAAATCATTTTCTCTCCAGGGTACAACAGTTGTATGTGTAACTACTTCAAAACCATTATTTACAGAAAGAAGCCTGCCCTTAGTGAACTGAAAGAAGGTACAGCACTCCTTAGTGATTTGATAGGAAGTTACTTTTAATAAATCTCTGAAGACTAGTCTAGCAGAACTCCTTTCGTTGACAAAATGACATTACTTTAACAAATCAGATTTAAAATATGGTTGCATCTTGCTTGATCTTCAAATCATCTGAAAGGGAGAACCCTAGAAATCTGAGCTGTCTACTTGACTGTTCTTGTAGAAAGTTCTGTTGGCTTCTGCCACAAATTTAAAAACAAACAAACAAACAAACACAACAGCACTTCCAAACCTAAACACTAAGCCAGTATTCATTATCTACTCTTTCTCTGCAACATTCTGATTGTCAGGGTGATTTTTTTTCCACCCTTAACTATATCTAATAAAATCATGAGGCTCCCTCTAGCTCTTCAGAGAGGAGTTTACTAACCAATGATCCTATATGACTGTCATCCAAAAGGAACGATTTGAGGAAGCAGCCTCCCATGCCTCAAGAAATATCGTTTTCAACTGCTTCTTGTAAGGATGTAAATGTTAAATGAGACCATCTGCAGAGGAATTCAGCTTATTCAGGAATAAGCACTGCTCCTTATATCCGATCAAGAATCTATTAATTGCTTCCAACCTAAGTTTTATATACCAAATTCTACAGTGAAACTAACCTGTTTAAACTATACATACATTCCTGATTTAGAATTTACCCATCTTGTAAAATTAATCGTAACCTCAAAAAAAAAATGCGGGCTATCTATACAAATTCAAATTTGTGATTTTGGTCTCAATCCTAAAAACCTAGTTTAAATAACAAGTCTTTAAAACATTTAAGTTTCATTAAGCGTGTACTGTGGAATTCATGTAAAGCAAAGATGCTGATGGTAATGTGTAGAAAACATTTCCATGTACCATAATATTTATACACACCACTGGTAATGATTTTTTTATTGTTTAATCTTTTCTGCTGTTCAGTACTGGGTATTTTGGGATTGCAGTTATTTCGACGTCTATAAACAATGTAGTTGAAGTGTGCCATTGATAATTAGTCTATCTTGCAATAGCCATAAAAGCCATAGTGGACTGGCAAATCATTTCAAACAAGTGAATATGAAAAATGCTAAATCAAATTCCTCATTCGCACTAGGACCATCTTTCAAATACCTAAGGAATATTCAAAACAGAGCTAAACCTTAACTCTAAAATTACAAATAAAGGGAACAACTAACTTCAAGTTATCACCTCTTTTGGCTCCCTTAGTATAAGAAATACTCCCAGAAACAACAAAAAAAGAGTAGCTCCCTCCACCCCCCCAACACCCGCCTCTTTTTGAGCCAGTGTCCAATTTCTTCTTTTCTGAACAGCTGTATTATCCAACTTAAGTTGCTCTGCTAATTTCAGTCCCACAAGGACTAACTTGGAAGGCAAAAAAAATACAAGAAAAGATCAATTTGCTGGGAAAGATCAAATGAGAAAACTGTGGGGACAGCACCAGGTCAGCGTGTGGAGAACTAAGCAGACCTGTTCTTCATTAACTGTGGTTCTCTGGGGATGTCACACACTACCTGTCCATGGGCTTTATTGAACCGCCTAACCCGCCTCTCTGTTCCATTCTTCTGGGCCCAAGTGAATCATATCCTGCTGCTGACAAGTTAGCAGGGGACTGCGGCTGCAACATGAAAGTACTTTTCTTTCTTGTCTAAATCAGGCAGATTTTTGAAAAGACGACACAGCATTGACTCGTGACATGGCAAGATGAAACGAGAGGTCTGGGCCGGTCTTGGAGCTGTGCAGATAAAAGTAATCAAATGACACTCGTGGAATGCAAATTGGCATTCTTGACTGCAGCAATTGCACAACCATGAAACATCCCTGACAGCAAGCAAGATTAGGACAAAATGTTATGTAAAGCACTGAACTCAAAAAGTCTCACTTGAAAATTCAAACTGTAACACTTACATTTTAATATAGCAATAGTCAGCTCTGCTTTTGTCTGCTTCATTTTGTAATCACATATCCCTGGCCTGACAGATACCTTACATTTCAGGTAGAGGGGGGAGAAAATCAGGTATTGGGACTATACAACGGCTATTAATATTTTCTTAAGATTTATTTTTAAAAATCACGAGACTTTCTTGTTCAAAGCTCACATGCAAACAAGAACTTAATATTCTCAAGAGGGAAAAATGACAGTTTCAGACATTTCTCACAAGATACTCAAAGCTCACATTCAGGCTCAGGGTTACTTCCCTCAGGTGAAGACACTTCTGTACTTTGGTGAAGTGATTAGCAACCTGGATTTTAAATACTCTACTCACCGGTAACAGAATGAGTAGTTACAACTAAGAACTTCATTAAGGCTGAACAGCTTAAATGAAACAGCTACAAATACAACGTAAAACACAGATACCCTATAAAGGTTCACAAGGGATTTTTTTGGGCGGTTCCAAAAGGCAAAGGAAATTCTATTAACTTGTGCAAGGTCTTACTACTCTTGAGTCCATCTTCGGATCACACACACTAAATAACAGCGCCAGAAATAATTCCTCCAGTGGAAGTGTGTGTGTGTGTGTGTGTGTGTGTGTGTGTGTGTGTGCGCTAAGTAATATCTGAAACTACAGAATATAAAGCAGTGGATGACACCTGGGCTTAGCCATCGTTCAAGGTGACTAGTAATGGGGTATAGATGTGTAAACAAATAGTAATATAGTCTAGGGGCAAAGGAAAGAATAATTACAACCAGCTTTTACAGCGTTCTTGTATAAAATGCCATTAGAAGAAAAATTCTCCAGGGCCAAACAAATCTATTTAATATTTTGTTTTGACACCTCTTCTTAAGCACAGGTTCTACCACTGCAAATGTCCATTAAAAAATAACAAAATAGGCCACTCCATGTACCAGCTTAATCCCAGGCATAAAGGATAATTTTATGATACCTTTTGCACATCTGTTTTACAAACAGCTTGACTCCAGGGTAAACTGGGCACACCGTTAAGTCTCCTCTTCTTTCAAAACCACTTTAATTTCTGTCAGCGTTACTGTAACCACAGTCTTTGGGCACAAACTAAGTGTGTGTGTGTGTGTGTGTGTGTGTGTGTGTGCACGCGCGCGCACGCGCCTGCATTGACAGTCGCATCTCCTACACTCCTGTCGTGACTTTGATCACTGAAACAAGAGATGTCACATTAGGGGGAAGGGAACAGAAGAAAAAGGCCAACCCGCTAGCTCGCTTTTTCTTACATATTCCATTTACATGCAGAACACAGCAGATCAGATCCCCAAGTGGGGCTAACAAGAGCAACACTGGGTTGGAAGCAAACTAAAGGAAGGGAGTGGTCCAGCCCATTTCTAACAAATCACTTCCCCGAAAGCGGACAGAGCGCCCATCACCAGGCGAACTAACTGCAAGCGTCCTCGCTGCAGAGAAGCCGCTCCGAGCAGACCGGCTGTGCTGGAATCTCGCTTCGCAAATCCTTCCCAGCTCCACCACTTGCACTTGGAACTTTTTTGCCTAAATCTCAGCCTCACTTCACAGGGCATTTCATCTAGGTTTTTTCTCTTTTTCTTATTCTGCCGCCTCCCTGGGCCCCAAATGCCACTCAGCAGCCAATGTGTAAGTAACAAAATCAGCTCCTTCAGAATTGCATCTCCAAGCCTCTGTCTCCAGGGTTTATTTTTCTGCCCTACAGTTTTGCACAGTCTTTAAAAAAAAAAAAAAAAAACCAACAACACTCCAGGAGCACTTCCTACATTTTCTTCATTTACAAAGGGAGGTTTCCCAACGTGGGGGCGAGGGGAGGAGAAAAAGCAAAGGTGCCGGGACCCGCGGCGTCCTCGCTGCGCACCAGCGCGCCCCGGCGCCCACGCCCAGCCGCGGGTCCCGCACTCGCCGGCAAGTTTTAAAAAAGTTCCCCTGGATCCACCTCGCTTCCCTCGGTCCCGAGCTCCTGCCAGTGCTCCATTCATCCCCCGCCTGCTCCCACCGCGGCCCCCCCCAACCCCCAGCTCGCCCCCCAACTCCCCGGGAGCCTCAGCTCGCCTGCCGCTCACCTTTCCTCGCCAGCAGCGAGAGGGGGCGACCTTCCCCAGCCCCCTCGCACCCTCGCCTGCCCACCTAGAGTTCTCCCGGAAACTTGGGCCAAGTTGGGGGACATTTTCGGGAGCCCAGCAGGGGCCAGCTCGGACCCGGGTTTTTCTTGTGCTCCCCGCCCTCCCCGCCGGGCCCCCCTCCATCTCGCGCCGCCGGACTGGACGAAAACACGGCCCCCGGGCGGGCCGCGGGGCGCGCGGGCGCGGGGCTCATTTCTTACGAAGTCTAGAATAAAAGGGGAAGGAGGGTGGAAACTTCTTACCATCTCGGCATGCTGGTTGTCAAGTGCAGCCCCCGCCTCTTGGTCTCCTCTTAGCGGCCGCGCCTGGACCAGCCCCTCGGCCGCCTCTCGCTCCTGGGTCTGGGCCTTGCTTTCCCTCCCCCTCCCGATTTCCTTCGGGCCGCGGAGCTCGCCGCCTCCGCCTCTCCCCGCCCGCCTGCGCGCGCCCTCGCCGCGGCCCCTCTGCGCTCAGGTGACTGATTTACACACGCGCCCAGGGTCGCGCCTGCTCCCCCAGCCGGAGCCCGCCGCCTTCCCTCGGCTCCTCGGGACACACAAAAAAAAAAGAAAAAAAGAAAAGAAAAAAAAAAAAGAACGGACTGTCCCGGGAGGGGGCTGCTCGCGGCGGGGGTTGGGGGGGCACCGGCGGGGGTGGAGAGGTGACCTCAGGGGGATTTGCCAGCCGCGGGAGTTTCTGCTCTCTGCAAAGTCGTGGTGACTACAATGTTGCTTCCCTTTTGCAAAATAAAAGTAGTTTTGTTGTTTGTCAGATTTCTAGGGGTTTCGGAAGATGTGTATTTCCACCTCCTCGTCTCCCCCACCCCCCGCCCTGTTACTTTTTCCCCTGCTCAGTCGGGAGATGGAAAACAACTTTGGCGCCCCCCGGGGGGTGCGGGCGTGAAGGTGGAGGTGGCCGCTAGAACGCAGCTGTCAAGGAGTGGGAGACAGGAAGGCTGCGAAACGCCGTGGAAAGGGCGCGAACTTTATTCCGACTGCTGCAAAGCGCGGCCTCGCTTTCCTTTTCGGCCACTTGCGGGTCTCCGTCCGCTTTGGCCAGTTTCTCCTGGTGAAGAGCAGCCGCCGCCCCGGCGGGCCTCTGCCCCGCGCGCCCCTCGCCCCGCGCGCCCCTGCCCTGCGCGCCCCTCTCCCCGCGCGCCCCGCTCCCCGCGCGCTCCTGCCCCGCGCACCCCTCTCCCCGCGCGCCCCTGCCCCGCGCGCCCCTCTCCCCGCGCGCCCCTCTCCCCGCGCGCCCCTGTCCCGCGCGCCCCTGCCCCTGTCCTTCCTGCCCGCGCCCTGGCCCCCGTGGGTCCGGGTCCTCCGCGTGCCGCCCGGGAGGAGGCGAGGACGGCGGAGGGAAACCTCGGGGACAGAAACTTGGAGCGAGAATGTGCTGGGCGAAAAGGCAAAAAGTTACACGCAGCTGGGGAAAAAGTTTTTGGTGGCGGCGTGTTTTGTGCTGGCCCAGACGCCGGCTTGCGGCGAAGGCTTCCTTCCCCTTCCCCGGGTCTGGGCCGCGGGCCTCGGGCTGCAGACGGCGGGAGAGTGGACCGGGCTGTTGGCTTCGCGGGCGCGCGCGAGGGATGACCGGTCACAGCTGCGGGGGACATGCAGCTGACCCGAGTCGCCCTGCCCTGGAGACGCAAAAAAAAAAAAAAAAAAAAACCAAAAAAGCACGCAGGCTCGCCCTGCGCGCACACGCCCGCAGACGAAGGACCTTGCTTGAGGCAGGCAAAGCACACTCCCGGCCGCGAGAAGGGGGGCGGGGGGAACCAGCATCATCTTTCTAACGTACACTTTGTGCCAAAAACATCTCCGCATCGTGCAGATTTATCATAGCTAGAGCAAACTTTCTACTTATCAAACATGGGAGGAAGACACAGGTTTCAAGCATACTCCCTAAGCACTTAGAAATCAGAATCGGCCAAGGCGAAGACTTGCTTGGCAGAACAACAGGTTTGGTTACCGGTTACTACTGAAAAGAGCAAATCTTCCATTCTCTCTTCCCCGGAGAGGGAGAGTAACTGCTTGATCGCATTCAGGGGTCACAATGAAATTCCTTTGAATATATGTAGCCTTGGGATCGCATGGCTTTATTTTCTTTGATGCAGTCTGGTCTTAAGTTTAATATGAATTTTCGCAATGATTTCCCAAATTTTTCGGGAGCCATGACTGATGTCAGACTAAGGCCCAAGTCACCACAGCTGTTCTCAAACTGTGATTAGCTTGTTATTCACGTGGATGCAGCTTTTTAACAGGGAGGTGGAGGTCACCGCACCTGCAGTTCTGTGTACTGATTGGGTCCAAATTCCTTTTTGGCCCTTACAAAGCTGATTGCAAGTCACTTCTGCATCTGTGATTTCTCTGCATTCGCTTGTGGAAAGGTTTGTATGTTCAACACATCTACCATATCATTTATAGTAAAAATATGTTAGAGTTCTAGTCGTATGTTTCATCTGGTGGTTTCTAATGGAAGATACAAGATTACTTCTCACTTCAGCATAAAACAAAATATAGGCTAGATACCTAATGACTACCCATATCTTCTCTATATATACATGTGTATGTATATGTTATCTCGAAAGACTTGTCTTTAAAGGATTTGATTAAGGTGTGGGGCATGTTCTCTTACTCTGTAAACATAACTGTAACATCATCCTATAGTTTGTAGAAACTGATTACACAAGGGATAATGACGACCAAATGTGCATTCTGAGCAACTGAGGATCATCACAGAAATTCTCCAGAAATGAGAGCCAAGTTCCAATGTGTTTTCTTGTATCACGGAGAGATGAGAAAAGCTAGTTGCTAATTTCAGAGTCATTACCCATACAAATCCATTCACACACTTACCGCTTTGGACAAGTGACAGACCAGCAATTGCCAAACAATTGTATTCACACAGTGCATTTTTGGCTGCACACCTACACTGGCCAACAGGCAGAAGTTATTCCACATCAAGCAACCTGCAATTTACATTCCCCTGATTGGTTCCAGATCTGCCTGTTTTTGATGTTAGCATACAAACAACTTATGTGAGGCAAGATATGTCTACTTGAGCTCTGGTACCTTTCTGGAGAGCCATCATTATAAATATGGGAATGGGTTGGGCTGAAGAGCAGCCCTTGGAAAAGGTGAAAGAATTTACAAAAGTGAAGTCTAGTATATAAGAAAATGCCAATCTCTTACTTCTTCCAGTGTGTTTGTATAGCAATTCAAATAAAACCTTTTTGTGTTCTGCAAGTTCTAATGATCTCCTGCCTGACACCATTTTTCACTCCCCTTGTAGACAACGCTAAAGTCACATTAGATTTCTTTTCCTCCACCTTGCCAAGCCCTGGTTTTTGTATCGGCTGTTCTCTCTACATGGAATGTTCTCCCAATTTTCTAGTGGTTCCTTCTTACCTGTCACATCCCAACTCTAATTTGGCATCTTCAGACTCTAATTATAAAGTAGCTGTTTGCCCACCACCTGAAATACTCCTCACACTTTCTCCCACTGCTTATTTTTTTTTATGTCCCTTAGCAATAACTGGAATTGTCTTATTTATGTGCTCATTATTTTTCTTCAACTAAAATGTAAGCTCCATGGGAGCAAGAGTTATATCCACATGCTTACTTATATGGCTTTAGCCCAATAAAATGGTGTCAGATTCAAAATAAACTCAGAAATATTGTTTGAATTAAGGGACAAATGTCAAAATCATTATTATGCTATATTGATAATGGCCTTAGAGCCAGACAAACTCACTTGAGGAATATGGACAAAAGAGTTCCATATCTGTTCTTTTGGTGAATTTAACACAGACTGCTTACTTCCTATTACCCATCCTCAAAGTGTGGTCTCGGTACCCCTGTAGACCCCCTGGACACTTTTAAGAGGGTCATGAAGTCAACACTGTTTCTATTACACTACTGAGAAATGATTTGCCTTTCTCACATTCTCTCAGGAGTGCACAGCAGTTTCCCAAAGACAATGCAATATCACAGTAGGCTGAATGCAGAAGCAGATACAAAAATCCACCTATCTTATATTAGAGATTAGCCCCAAAATTTAAATGCCACTCATCTCACTATTTTTTCATTTGAAAAAGTTATTTCTCATTTAAAAATAGGTATATACATTTCATACTGCTGCTATAACAAATTACTACAAATTTTGCTAGCTTCAAACATCACAGATTAATATTTTATAATTCTGGAAGTCAGAAATCCAAAAATGGGTCTCACTGAGCTAAAATCAAAGTGTCTGTGGGCCTACTTTCCTATTTGAAGACCCTAGGGGAGAATCCATTCCCTTCCAGAGCCTCCTCATTCCTTGACTGGTGGTGCCCTTCCATCTTTAAAGCGGGCAAAAGCAGCACACATTTTTCTCATGCTGCATCACTCTGACATTGCCTTCTTTCACTTACAAATGCATTTATATTTGGGGCCATCTAAATAATGCAGAATAATCTACCTATCTTGAGAGCCTTAATCACATCTGCAACACACTCACAGGTACCAGGGATTAGGATGTGATTTATTATTAGAGGCCATTATTCTGCTCACCTCAGTGTCATAAGAAATGGTAGGTTTCAGTGGGCAGGGATTGCCTGCAGTCCCGCAGCCATTGCCTTGGACCAAACCACATGGTTTGCAGCTTTTCTAGGACCCCTGGGGGAGGGACCCTGGGAGCGGGTTCCAAATAAAGCACATGGTTTCCAGAAAAAAAAAAAAGAAAGAAATGGTGGGTTTATTGCTATTTTAAATGAATTGATAACTATTCCGTAGTTTCAGAGTTTAAATTCCTGATACAATAAATACAAGTAGTTATTTCCCACATAAACAAAAGTTCTTTCAGTACTCAACAATTTTTAGACGTCTTGAGAGCTAAGTTTGCAAATCACTGGCCTACACTTAGCTACTTTCCCTTCTTCATCCACTGCCTCAAGTTAAATGAGATTGAACTAAACTGACGAAATGGCCTTTTCCCTTTTGGTGTGCTTGGTTTAAGAGTGGGGCTGTTACTTAGTTCTCACCACTAAAGGATGAGAGGAAGTTGGGGTAGGAGTGACCTTTGGGTAAGATTCCTTTACTCATTAAAACAAACAAAGAAAAAGAAAAAACTGACCAGAATTTAGTTGTCCTTTTACTGCTCTGGGTGTTATTAAGAAAGTGACACCTGAAACAGCTGCATCTATTTGTGACCAAGAGGGAGCCAACACCCCTGGGATGACAAAACAAGAGACGGGGGGCAGTGTATGAGCTCTCGATGCTATTATTGACTTAACTGAATTAACCAACCTCACATGGCTTGGGACTCCTTGCTATGTAATATAATTAATCCCCTTATCATTTAGGCCATTTTGAGGCTGCTTTTCTGCTACTTGCAGCTTAAAGCTTCCTAAATGTTACAGAGAATAGTCATGT